CTTTCGTTTGGCTGAGAGCCGATCCCCAATATCATCCAGCCTTGAAAGATGACACACCTCTTTTGCACCAACCAATAGCTGTTCATTCATGGAGTTTAACCAGTGGCCATGTGTCCGTAAAACGTCTACGGTTCTCTACAACTATGTTATTTGTTTACCAAAGCCAGGTGTATGTCGTCTACACATAAGTATACTGAGGCTTTTGCCATTCTTGAAAATTTCTCCAAATTGTGGTAACTTAGCTGAGCTGCGCTATTTCCTAGCTTACTTACTTACTAACTTACCTAGTTAGTGTATTAGGTAAACAGTAAATTTGACCAACAATAATATGGAAAAAACCACCCTGGACATCTATGTGTAGTAGACACACAGGCGTTATTAAGTTACTGTAAAAGAAGGCACTGTAAAAGTTTTTTGCCTTTACCTGCTGTGGTATTCTGTTAGCTGTTATAGTAAATACATAGTAGCAATTGTGTTTATATTTTCATTTTTCTGTCTGATTATGGTAATGGGAGTACTTTTCTACCAACTTAGCTACAAAGAGGTAGTGAAGTACGCTACTTGCCAACCTACAGCGGTATCTCTGTGAGCTACTGCATATGAGCTGGCCCCCCAAAACTGTAACCAGCCCCCCACCAACCCTGAACTATGGCTAACCTTCACTGGTGTTCTGAGTTTTCCATTTCTCTCATAATGTTCAATGTAGTGCTCATCTCTCATGATAGCTACACTGTTTTACAAGAAACGACACCTAGTGGTCACCAATTAGCACAATAATCGATAATGCTAATGGGTTGCTATTAGCTTGTATTGATTAACATGCTTGGTTGCGCTACTCAATTCCGGCCAATATTTCAAGGGAGGAGGCAAAGCTTGGATCAGCAGAAAAGAGGAGAGAGACATCAGGGCTCAGGAATGAAGACAAACAGGCCGGAGGGTCCGGGGAGACGCGTAATTATGATAACACAGCAGCCGCCAGGGCAGACGGCGAGCCAGAGACGCGGGAGTGTGAGCTCCACACCGCCCTGCTAATGATGACAGAGTGCAGCCCAGGAGTAGCGCCCCTCTGCGGGATCCACTCGAAAAGCTGGGCTCTTCTGCCCTCCAGGACAGCTTCTATATAAATAACAGCAGCATTAGCAAAAACGTTAGTGCCGTTAGAGACTAGGGGTAGATTTATGGATCCAAAGCCTCTCATGCTTGGAGATCTGGGTCATTTGGGCTGTATAGTTAGCAAGTTTATTTGAAGACAAGAATGGAAAACCAAAATAGAAAAACATGTGGAGGCTTAAACACATTCTGAAGGAATTTCTGCCAGTGAAGAAACACTATTTCAGCTCTCATGCAATCTTTGTTTTTGTTTCTATAGCTCTATTTTTTAGCTGGAGCTGAATTACGCCCCTCTAGAATGTTTTGATGGAAATAATAATGTCTTAAGACTGCTATCTCTTCCTCACTGAACTTCCATTTCTTCTTCATCTTGAGCTTGTTGATTGCTTCACTACTTCGCTGCACCTTTTAAACCCTTTGCTTAATTGCACCTAAGTGTGTAATTAGAAGTTTATGTGATTAGCTGCAGCCTTAGTAATCTGAATGTTAATTTCAGGCGCATTACGAGTGCATGCTGTGATATCAAAGCACATTTTGTGCCGCAACTTTATCTTTAAAACTTAAAAATCTAGTTTTGTTATGCCATGTTATCATTTTTTTTATTTTATAACAATAACTTATAGAGTGTGGTTTTAAACATTATGAATTATAAAATCTATTTGCAGATGTTTTATTCAGTATTTCAAGAATTCCAAGAACTCCATGAACCAGAAATTATTGAATGTTAAATAATATACTTCAACTACTTACATGAACTTTTTTTTTTTCACTCCCTTGACATTTGATCACCAGTTTTAAAATACAATGAATTCTGGACATTTATTACATAAAAAGGCCTATATCACAGAAAACTAAATTTCCCTTTGCTTTTTAAAATAAAACACTTTGATGTAGTTTGTAAATGCTGATAAAGTTTCACAAGTAACCATTTACGCCCCAGTCTATACAGTCCACATATGCAAACTAAGACACAAAAACAGCCTGCTTTTAATTCACTGTTTTTGTGATGTCACAAAAAACAGGACTTTGATATATATTTGCATAATCTGCTTATAGCAGTTTAGCTCTATCCATTCTTGCTGTAGTTCTAAGGAGTTTTTCAGACTTGACTGCTTTTTGAAAGAGGCACAATACAATGCAGCCAATCAGAACAGACGTCATTTACATATATCAGTCTTAAAGGCACAATAACAAAAACAACCTGTTGAATTTAAGGGGACAAAGAAAGGTTGAAAATGGTCATTTAAAAATAAATGATGACTGATTTTGGTACAACTACAAAAAACTTCTCAAGTGGAAGGCAGGGAAATGAAATTCAAGACAAATTCAGGACCTTTTCAGGACCTTTTAAAAACCTCACTGCTGTACAGCTTTCTCTGTTGTTTTAGAATTTTCTATGCACCATTCTGGACACATCTTAATTTTTATTTACAGGTTTCTAGTGTCCTATTCACTATATGAAAGCTGTTAAATTGCAGAGGACTGACATATTAAAATCATATGCATATTGGCTCCAGTCGTCGAAAAATCAAGAGTTCAATCCCTGGTGATGCCACAGCCATCCATGGCCCGGGGGTCAAGAGAGCATATGTGGCCCTGCTCTTTCTAGGTTGCTAGGATCCCCACAGCACTACATATATATATTTATATACTTGTCTGAAACCAAATTGGTTTAATGTTACTGAAAACATTGACTCAAAACATTTGAACAGTAGTGTATACGTGGCCCTAGGTGCCAAAAAATGCACATAAATGGCCATCAGGCTTTGTTTGGTACTGGGGCAGTGGGACACCTTAAAATATGTGTACAGGCAAAATGCCAACTAATCACTGTCTATTCATGAAAAGGTATTTTTTTTTTTTTAAATACAGTAATCAAGTTCAATTGAGTAATCACAGCAACCATAATACAGAGAGAGAGAGAGAGAGAGAGAGAGAGAGAGAGAGAGAGAGAGAGAGAGCGAGCACAAAGCAAACATTCTGGCAATGACAGCCCCCCTAGGGGGAAAAAGCTACAACACTGGCTTGAACTGCAGTGTGGGGTTCTAATGCTGTGATCCTAACAAGCATCAGCATGACACTGCACCTTCTCTTCATGCTGAATTTCAGCACTGCTTCCAGCTAATGAGCGAAAAAGCTACCCACTCATCATCTAAAATCCCTCCGTCTCTACTTCACAGCAAGCTTTGGAATCTTTCCCGAAAGACGGCTGTGCTTTGTCAACATGACACTTACAGCATGAGCCAAAAAATTGGGAAACCAACAAGCCCACACACCAATCATTCGTCAACAAGAAAAGACACAGAATATCACACCAATGCTTCTGTGCTCTCTGTCAGCCAGTTTTTCCAGCCTGACCGTCCCCTCGCTAACACGTTCAGTACTGTTCACATTTTCATTTTCAGAAGATCTAGTCAGAAATAGGCCTGTCAGTACGGGTGAACAACATGATCTTCTTCGTTGTTGTGATAATTACATGACATTATGTCACAATAGGTTTTTCTGAGCATATTGTGGGTATCATCAGTACTTAAAGGACTCTGACAAACTGCATGTTTCATTACAAAGAGAGCATAATTAGTTAACTGGATTTGCACTGTAGTATGTGAAATGTTGAATAAAATCTTTGTACTGATATTGTCTTGTTTTTAAAAGCTGAGCATCAAATCATTTTGTGTGTCGTGAAAATGTTCATGCTGAACATTGTATGCCTTTAAATGTAATGCTCTTGTAATGACTGGTACAAATCTTCAAAATAAACTAAAAGGCCAAAATACAGCTAAGTGGATTTCAGTTAATGAATACTCACATCAACATACAGAAAAAGTATGTCCCATAGTTAAGAATAGTCACAGTAGCCCTCTATAAATATAAACTTTGTCTGTACAAAGTTAAAATAACAGTATGTCACACAGTGTCAGAAACCACACACAGACAGGATAACTAATGTGCAGTGAAAAGGTGACAAGTTTGGAAACCAACCCCCTGTAGCAGGGTCCAGCCTTCCCAGGAGAGAAGTTTGGTGATCTTAACATGAAAATTCTGGCACAGCCTGAGACTGAAATAAGGGGAACCTATTGCAGAATTATTTCGTTTACCGAGTACAACAACTACACAAGTCATGTCCAGAAATTGTACTGTGTTTTTTTTTTGGCTAAAATGTGTTGCTTACCATACCAAGGCCAGAAATCATCCTTTGAGATATCTCTTATAAAATGAGGCCATTTTAACAATTGCTAATTATTTGTATTCTACTGATCCTATAATTGTGCTTGGACCCCGATGATCACCACCTGTGGTGTATTTGCATACAGTCACTATGCTCTCACAACATCTGTGACAGTTCACAGAAATCAATGTTTCACACTAATTTCAGAGCAGCACAGTGTCACTAGCAGAGCAACGCCACAAGGGTTCAGTGATTTGCCCAAGAGCAAAGCAGTCTGGGATCTGAACCCGCAGCATTCTGTTTGCTCACTTCTCCTACCACTAGCTGTGCCGTATTTGGGAGTAAAAAGGGATTTTAAGTCATTCTAAAAGAGCTGTTTAATCATTGGTAAGTGCATATAAATATGTATGTAAACATATGTATGTGTATAAGCCTGAAAAGTGTGTATAGCTGTACATTATGAAAAGTTAACTGACTGCCTATGGCTTGGTTGCAATGTGGTGAATGTTTCTGCAAACCTTTAATAAACAATCAGTTTAAATACTAAAGCTTCTAAGTAATGTTCTGTTTGTCGTGATGTAAACATACAATTGTGAAATCTAACAACTGTGAAAATGACCACCAAATAACCACAGGCAAGTGACTGCATAATAATCATGACAGGTCTACAGAGAGAGCAACAGTTAAAGAGTAGTAAAAGAAAGCACGGGCTTCGGCTCACCTGAGCTGTCCCAGGTTGTAGTGTCGTGTCTCCCCGTCTGTGGAGCGCGTGACGCAGACAGAGAAGCAGGGCTGCAGCTGTCTCAGCTCTAGCAGCACTATGGCCAGGTAGTGGATGAAGAGGAGAGCGTCCACCAGGGATACTGCATACTGCACAATGCCCTGATAGTCCTCATCCTTGAGGAGAGAGAGAGTAGAGACATGTTATAGTAAACAGAAGATTTAATAGGTTTATTAGTGATGTTTTTTATAGGTACCGATGTCCAGACACAGATTAAACTTGGTCTGGGATTAACCACATAGGTCTCTTCATTCAGTGACCAGCATAAATTATTCAGTAACTATTATCACTATTATCCACTTACGACTATAAGGAATGGAACTAACAACATAATAACATAAAACTCAATCACAAGACAGTCCATCACTGCAGCAGCACTACAATGAACAAACTTGCAGTACAAGCCTTCATTACAGAGACTATTTGTGGAGGTCAGTTGGCAGCTTGTCAGCTGTTCATGATTATAGAGAGAAAGTGAAAAAAACGTCCCTCTGCTGACTACAGTCACTGTGGTTGTCTATTTTATTTTCCCCAAGATAGATGCTGCTGACCTGCCACTGACACTAGAGGAAGACAACAGTGATGTGTGCAAGTGAACCTAAATGTGCAGTCAAAACAAGAAAACACCTTAATTCAGGCCTGACCAGTGTCTAGGATCACATTCAGAAAAAACTAGGACAAATCTGCTTTAAAATGTCAATTTTATTGTGTTCACACTGCTGTAAAACATCAGATCTGTCTCACATTTGTTGGAAAAACACTTTATGCCACTTCAACCTTGCAAAATGACTACAGCTTAAAGGATCCCACTGTTTTTCCAAGATTTCTGCATAATTCAGTCATTGAGATGTAGACAAAGTCAGAGTAATTTGATATGAAGTGGTTTGTTGTAGAGAAATGTATTGACTTTGATTTCTTTACAAAGGTGGTGATGGGAACCAGAGATCACAATGTCTACAACACAAATGCAGCCATTTTATTAACTATCCAAAACCACCAGTGAACCTACATGTGTATCCCGAGTTTTTACATATTTTACATGATAATCGTAAAATAGTGGTAAATCTGAAAAAATACATTTTATTGGGTACAATGTGCCTTATAACACCCTCCAAGTTAATTTCTAGCAAAAATACATAAAAAAAATAATAAAAAATGTTTTAGGCCAAATCTTCTAAAACCGTTCAAAAAACAATGTGTCAGGGACCAATTAACATATATCATTTAACAGCTTCCTGTGAAATAGCTTTTAGAGGCATTAAAGGTTTCAGACGTCTGGTTCCTATCACCACCACTGTGAACAATTCTGACTTGATACACTTTTCATGAATGGCGCATTTCAAATCAAACATCTGAATGAATTTGTTTACATCTTTATGATTTGATTATGCAGATATTTTGAAAAAAAAGGTGAGATTCCCCTCTAAGTTAAAAACAAATAAAGGCAGTTACAACTCCTAGTATACTTATTTAGTTTAAGATCGCATTTAATTAGTGTCTGGAAAAGGCCTCATGGCAACTTTTGCTTTCACAATCTTTTGACCTCTCACCTGTGTGTCCAAGATGCGCACTCCATAGAATAGCCAATAGGAGAGCACAAACAGGAACACCAGCGTAGCCAGCAGAGCACGGAACACGAAGACCCGAGGCATGCCTGCTCTGGGCGGCCGGAAGAACAGCGCCCACACCGCTAACAACAAAATGAGCAGCTTGAAGGCTACCGAGATGAAGAGGCCCTCGCAGGCTGTGCCGCAGCCCCGTAGCCTGTCCGGCCACAGCAGGTGAGGCAGCACGAGAAAGGCCAGCGGCGTGAGGAGCACCAGCAGGCCCAGGATGATGGACAGGGAGACGGATAGATAGCGCTTGCAGTCCAGACCCACACTGTCGTCCAGGTCCTTGCTGATGCGGACGATGTCCTCCTGAGAGAGTGAGTGCTCAGAGGTGCCAGTGACGGCTGTGGTGGTCTCTCCCCAGTTGTCATCCTAGAGAGAAAAACAATCTCTGCTTAAAATAAGAACAATACTAATGCAGTGATACAGTACTCAGACACAATTACAAACAATGTCATTTGATTTTGAACTTATAAATATGAAGAAAAAGCTTGTATATATATAAGCATAAACATCCACTGGGTTAAAAATAACACTGATAGAAAAAAAGTTTTCAGACACTACAAATTAATAACATTAGTACTTTGTTGCAAAGCGTTGTTGGCAGGTACAGCTTTAGTAAAAGTAAATATATGCACTGGCGGTATATTAAATAATAAAACAAAAGTATCTGAATACCTCTTTACTCTAACTTGCAAGAAAAACCACCACCAAAACTAGCATATGCTGTGTTTTGAAGTCGGTATGGTGGTATCACCAATATAGGTGATATGGCTAAACCAGCACCAGAAAAGGACAGATTAAATAGCAGAAATAAACTAGCGTTAATGATTTATTAATTGAAAAACTACTAGAGTAATTACTTTGAGTTATTTTAAGGTTATAAGGTTCAACTGTCAAGGTTTCACAATGTTTGCTACCTAAGGTAATCCATTATCTTACCTTTGTAGGTAAGATAATGCTTAGCTAATCGAGATGTTAGCTAATTGAGCTAGCTGAAAGACACTCGCAACAGAACATATAACCAAAAGCTTTATGAAAGAGCAGTTATTTATTTTAAAATGACATAATAAAAAGAAAACGGTAAAAGAACACAGAAGCTAAGATTTGTTAGCCAGCCGGCAAACTGCTTAGCCACTGAGTTGTGAAAAGCATAGATGTTTTTAAACTGGAAATACACAAAATATCCAAGTTAAATATTGTATTAGGAAAGAATTCATGTAATAGTTAAGTTACAATAATTATTATAGCAAAAAAGGAACTGTTACAGGGAAAAACATACTCAAAAACTCTAGTGTGATCAATAGCCTCAAATAACCACTTCAGTTACCACTGAAAGCTGTAGCTGAAGTTTAACCTTGGTAAAGAGTCGTAAAAAGCTAAAAGAAATATTATTTATAGTCTTATTTGAAAGGCACAAAGCCTACAAAATGGATTACATCCAAGAAGGAAATCGAGGGAAAGTGAGGGAAAACCTTTTTTCTTTTTTTTTTCTTTACACCTGAAATTGGACAGATGTCTAGACATAATAAATGTATCTCTGAAAACACTCTGTCCGCTAACCTAACAGAAGCTTTCTTCCATATTCTTCCATATGAAGTGCATCTGGAAGATTCAAAAGATATAAACGAACAATCACAGAGGACCGAATGGCTGCAAACTGTAACGCAGCCCAGTCAACCTTGCACGTCTACCGAGCGAGTTCTGTATCTGTTTATTTTTCCTCCTCACAGAGCGCAAAATAAACACAGCCTCCCTTTCTGAGGTCAAGTCGCAGCAGCAGCACTCAGGAGAAAAAAGGAGGGAAAATGACAGTCACTCAACCGGTTAGCACCTCAGGCTAACACTGTTGCGCTGAGATAAACACCAAAACGCATTAGGGAGGATGTAGTTGCAGGCTGTTTAAAAGAGGCACTGATCGCGTGTGAAGTGGCATTAATAATACAGTGTGGTATGCATATCTGCTTGTTTTGTATGCGATTAAGACACAAAGGAAAATCTGAAATCGTGTAGCATGTTTAGCCCGCTAGCAAACTGTTCCGCTTCAGGGCAGATAAAGTGAAATTCAACTCATATACCCAGATGTAGCTTCTGTAGGGACCTTTTAATTCTATGAAACTTCAACTCAAGTTTCGAATGAGGCCATTTGAAACAGCTCATTTTGCCTGATTTGCAAGAGCTGAGATGATTTCACTTGTTTCTCCTGAGACCTGAAGCTCGTGTTGTGGTCTGCTAGAAATATCAGCACAGACCTGCATGTTCACCAGCAAAACCAGCGTAGGTTGTGTTTTGGATTACTGGCACAATCATGAAATTTTAGCTGACAACTGTCATATAAATAATTGCAATTAACGATCGAATCGTGTTTTCTCGTTCAATGCGTTTACAAATTCACCCCTTAAAATTCCAGACTTGTGACATACTAAGGCATATTATTCAGCTACTACAAGGACTACAAGGCAAAATAGCTGAGTTACTCTTAGGTCATAGAAGTGGGTAGTAAAATGTTGGGGCTGCTGGTGGGCCTTGGCCATTTAAAGGGTTAAAATACTAGCCTAAAGTGGCCAAATTGGCTAATTTACTTGCTATATATGTTTATGCAGTAGCTGGCTATACTGGCGCATCAGTACTGAGTACACACTCAAATGTCAGCAGTTACACAGAATTATGAGTAGCTTAGCAAAGCTACATGTTCTTTACGAGAGTGAAAATATAAGTAAAATCACGTATTCTGCTAGCATACGTGCTAAAAACACTACGATTAGCTACATTAGCTACAGTTAACAGACAAAAGAAGCACTCAGCGCTGCCCTCAAGTTAGTACCAAGTTAGAAGTCAGAAGGTTTTCTTGTAAGCCCTATGATTTCTCAATGAATGCAATCATTGCTTTCTTTTATTTACATTTATTTGCCTCAACCCAAAACACCCAATTCACATTGTTTGTTGCAGCATAATATGACAGTGGCGGCTAACAACTGTGGAAAATGACTGCAATCAACTTAAATAATTGCAATCAACTGAAATGATTGCAATTAGTTGATTATGTGATAATTGTAACAGGCCTATTGCTGGTACGCTGGTTAGCAACAATGGAAGCCGATATGCTGATCACCACAGTAACCACCACCATTATAATAATAAAAATAATAATAAACAATAGCTATAAAGTGCTTTTCAAGGACCCAAAGATGCTCACAATTACAGCAGCATGCAGTACGTCAAAAACAAACAGGACAACAGTAATAGAGATATGCAATGTTAGAGAAGACAGGGAAAACCACATGGAGGAGCAGTTTGAGGAAGGTCATAGGCAAGAGAAAATAGGTATGTTTTAAGGTTAAATTTGAATGTGGGGAGAGAATCAGACTTTCCCCCTGCACAGAGTTCCAGAGACAAGGAGGAAATCTAGAGAATGCTCAATCACCAAAGCTATGGAGGTTGGATGAAGGAACGGTGACTAGCCCATCTGAAGACCTGAGAGTACGAGTGTGTTTGTAGGGAAAAAGAAGACAGACAGATAAAAAGGAGCAAGATTGTTGTGATGATGTGTTTTGGATGCAGGTATGCTGATATGACTATGCTGGGTAACGAGTTAAACCAGCACCAGACCAGCCTAAACCAGCTAAGACCAGCATGGAATTCACACTGGTCTAAGCTTTTTTTTCTTCAGCAGGGTGTGGATGTCCTAAAATGTACAGCATAACATAGGCAGCCTTTTGTACAGGCATGGTATCTGCCCGCCAGACCGAGCATGTTTAACTAACACGGCCATGTTTCTACATCTCATCTACATTAGATACATTAAATGTGGTATTCATGCAGGATATCACATCACATATGTTTACAGTTATGTTCATGTAAAAGAATGTGCCTTGCTATGGTTTGTATAAAACAGTTCAATAAATGAACGTATTACCAGATTAACTCATTGACCTGCCGCCAGGCACAGGCCTAGTAAGACCGTTTAGAGGCTACAAAGCATTATAATAAGAGACAGAGAGGCCTAAAATAAAGAGCTGCCTTAGTCAGGGCTGTTCAACACTGAGTAATAGGTTAAGACAAAGAAAAAAAGGTCATGGGTCCAGAGTGAGTGCTAAAATAACACAGATAATGCCTCCCAAATAGCAGTCATAACACAACACTCAGCGCTAGCCTCATACGTACTTACAGAGGGCCGAGCGCACTTCCTGCCATCCCTGTGTGTGTGGTCCTAAAACAACACTCATGCACAAAAGGACTTCATCATGCTATATGGATGTGTATGTGTGTGTTTGTGTGTGTGTGATACTGAAATGACGTCAGGGAGAGTGAGACGGTGGTGTAATGTGCAGAGTTGGCAGAGCTCTTTGTCTGGCCTGAGGGCAGCAGAGTGACATCGGAAGGAAAAGAAGACAGAGAGAGAGGGGAAAAAAAGAATAAAGGGAGAACAGGCAGAATGGAGGGATTGGCTTTTCATCATGACACACGAGAAGAGTCCAAAACGGACAGAGCACATCGCCATATCAAGAGCGGCACTGTCGTTTCAATCTTACGGTCAGTTTCTCACATCCAGAACAAGCCTAAATCTAAATAAATCAGGTTTTTTAATTGTGAAACACAACTGTCAGTTTTGTAGGTTTTATAGGACATCAATAGCATCCAAACAAACTCTGGTTCTGCACTGTTTTTGTCTATTAGAAACCCAGCTAGCTCTGCGTGACTTAAGCAGTACTGGGCCACTTTGAGTAGAAGTGCTGGATAGTTACAGGAGAAGCCTTACTTTCACATAACTCAGCACGTACGTAGCAATATTCGTATTTCAATGACATTTGCAGGAGAAAATATACACAGGACAAAATGCTTTGAAACACTTTTTCTTGTCACAGAGCATCACAGGAGCAATTCTAAAAAAGGCTATTTTTTTCTTACCATAGACAAAAAGATGAGTCCTAAAGTTCCTTTTAGAGTAATGTTGCTTTCTACCAAGTGATGACCTCCGAGGTCTACTGCAATTCTATCCAAGACTAAGTCTAGTGATGTAGTTCTAGGATAAAAAGTGGGTATACTATAAACACACATACATATACACATGGTATAAAGGGAGTTCTATGTTTTTAGATATCAAAACATGACATAAATAAATAGGCGTGTAACCAGCTTATTGTACAATGCTGGAGTAGATACCAAACTTTTTCTTTAAACTTAATGTAGTTTTATTATAACTGAAGTTTATAATAAAAACCCCTGAAACCCCTTCTTCCCTCCTTGACGAAAGGTTCGCAATCCCCACGACCACGACATCTCCTCCCTGTTACTCAGTCCTGCATCAGTCCTACTTCAGCTATGGCAGGGGGGTCTGGCTTTCCAGCTACAGGCAGAAGCTGCCCAGAACT